ACTTCCTTTTTTCACAGAATGGCAAATGGAGGAGACAAACTTTATCAAAAGATTGGAAGAGGGGGAATTGATTGAGGGAGACAGGAGGGTTCAAGATGCAGTAGTTAATTCTATGAAAATTTATACAAGGAGAGATGGGTTCAGAGACCAAGACTGGATGGTTAAAAGTTTAAGAGATTGTCAAGTGAGGAAGCAACTAGTTTGAAGTAGCCTTCTTAGAAGAAGAAGTTCTTGAAGCAATTAGTGAGATGGAAGGAGATAAGGCACCAGGCCCGGATGGCTTCACTTTGGAGTTCTACAAAAGGTTTTCGAATTTTATCAAGACTGATTTAATGAAGGTCTTTGAGGGGTTTCATGAAAGGGGGACCTCAAGCAGTTTTGTGCACTGGGTTATAAAATACTTTTATATTTTTTATTTTTTACATTATAATTATAAAATAGACATTATTAAACTATAATATTCATTTTATGTGTTTATATACTAATTTCCTTTTATTATTTTCTTATTTTGTTAGAGTTTAATCAACTCAAGCATTGCTAACTGCTGTATTAAACCCATGGTTCAAAGTATCGATACACCTCTATGTATTGGCAGAGGTGTATCGGTACTTGTAACGATACTCCCCGTATTTTTTTATTTTTTTGGTTTTCAATTTCATTTTTAAATACATATATATATTATTTAAAAAAGGGTCCCCGAAAACACCTGTAAACAGGTATTGGGACCCCAAAGATACAATACGATGCGCCCGATACCATAGTTTTCAAGGCGCCAAGGCGAGGCTAGGCGAGTGGGGGGTGCCATGTCGCTTAGTCGCCTAGGCAATGGATTTTTTTATGTTAAAAACATAGATCCTAGGGTAGTTCCCTAGGTACCATAACCATATTTCGTTAATATTGATTTTCATAAGAAAAGTATAAATTTCATATTAAAGTATAGAAAATCAACATATTCATGAGAACAAAAGGAAGAAGGAAAATAAAACTCAAAAAATATAGGGGCTGAACCCTTATTTTTGTTATAGGAAAAAAAATAAAATAGTAGTAGTAGTAGTAAGAAATAGAAAAAGAATATATGGAAGAGGAAAATGTGCTGATTAGATAAACGTTTAAGTTCTTCCTTACTTATTGGTTCAGGTTTTTAAGTCTTTGAGGGTTGAATACAGCATTTAGCAATGTTTGTGTTGATTAAACCCTAATAAATAAGAAAATAATAAAAAGAAATTAGTAAATAAACACACAAAATGATTATTTTAGTTTAATAATGTCTTTTTTATAATTATAATCTCAAACAAGAATGAATAAAAAAGTATTTTATAATAGGAAGTAGAAAACTGCTTGGCGATTAGGCGAGGCAAGGCTCAAAGGGTGCCTTGTCACCTAGGCGCGCCTTGACAACTATTCTCGATACGAGGCGTATCGTATCGAAATTTTGATCCTTGATTGAACCCTCCAAAATTTCAAAACCTGAACCAATGAGCAAGGAAAGAACTTAAAATTTTGTCTAACCAACATATTTTCTTCTTCCACCTTTTCTTTTCTTCTTTCCTATAACAAAAGTAGGGGTTCAGCCCCTATATTTTTTTAATTTTCTTTTTTTTGTTCTTTTTCTTCTCATAAAATGTTGATTTTCTAGACTTAAACATGAAATTTATACTTCTCTTATGAAAATTATGAATAATTATTAAGGAAAGATGGTCATGGAACCTAGGGAACTACCCTAGGATATATGGTTTTACTTAAAAAAATCCATCGCCTAGGTGTTGCCTAGGCGACTAGGCGGCAAGGCGCCCCCTGTCACCTAGCCTCGCCTTGGCGCCTTGAAAGCTATGCTTTAAACCCATTAGTTTGATTAGTAATGTGTACAAGGTGATTATAAAAGTGCAAATGAGTAAATAGACTCAAGGAGGAGTGGGGAAGGAGTGCTCTTAAAAGTTGATTTGGAGAAAGCCTATGATCATGTTAATTGGGGCTTTTTGGACTACATGCTCAAGAGGCTCAATTTTGGTAGGAAGTGGAGAAACTGGATAAAGGTGTGTCACAACAACAAGCTTCTTAGTTTTATTAAATGATAGCCCAACAGGTAGATTCTTCAGTTTTAGGGGAATCAGACAAGGAGACCCTTTGTCTCCCTCTCTTCACCTGCATTACCAAAACCTTGAGTTCTATGGTGAATTGAACAGTGGAGGGATGTCTCTTGGAGGAATTTAAGGTGGGGGAGGAAGTAGAGGTGCCTTTACTCCTTCACTTCAGTATGCAGATGATATGCTTTTCTTTGCTAATATTCACAAAAGTGATCTGATTGCGGTGGGAATGAAGAGATCTACAACTTCTAGCAGGCTATGTTGGGTGCAAAACCAGCAAGTTGCCCTCAAAGTACTTGGGAATGCCATTAGGAGAAAGATATACTTCAAAGAAAATCTGGGAGCCAATGGTGGAGAGGCCAGAGGGTACAGAGGAAGTTGGCTTTGTTGAAAACAAGACACAATACCTTTCAAAAGGAGGGAAGTTGACTCTAATTAAAAGTGAGCTATCTTCACCACCAACATACTTGCTTTCTTTATTCCCAGTTCCAGATGAAGCAGCGAGAACAATTGAGAAGATGATGAGAGATTTCTTGTGGAAGGGGTGGAAGGATGAGTCTAAAGGTCCCTTAGTCAATTGGAATAAGGTGTGCAAACCAAGGAAAGCTGGATGATCAGGAATGAGGAAGTTAAGAAAGTTCAATATGGCTTGCTTGGGCAAGTGGTTCTGGAGGTGGAATGAGCAAACTAACAGCTTGTGGAGAAGAGTTATTTTGGCTAAGTACTGTTCTACCAACTTTAACTGGGATCCAGGTGAATCCAATATCTCCTATGGGTGCTCAGTGTGGAAAGGCACTTAGAAATCAGTTCCAGATTTTAAAACGGGATCAAATTTGAAATTGGTGACGACTCAAAGGTGAATTTCTGGAGGGATTGGTGGTGTGGTGAGTGTCCTTTGAAGGAGAGATTTCCAGCTCTGTTTGAGTTAGTTCAAAATAAAGACTGCTTGGTGGCAGAGGTTTACTCTCATGATAGGTCCACAGGCAACTGGTGTCCCACTTTCAGAAGAAACTTGAATGATTGGGACATAGCTCAATGGATGGAGCTGATGCAAGCTCTTAGTCCCATCAGCTCTGTTTGAGTTAGTTCAAAATAAAGACTGCTTGGTGGCAGAGGTTTACTCTCATGATAGGTCCACAGGCAACTGGTGTCCCACTTTCAGAAGAAACTTGAATGATTGGGACATAGCTCAATGGATGGAGCTGATGCAAGCTCTTAGTCCCATCAGACCAGACTTCTATCTAGGCCAGATAGAAGATTTTGGTGGGAGAACACTCGGGGGTTTTCTCTGTTGACTCCAATAAAATCCTAAGCAGTAAGGGTGAAGAGAATTTCCCAGAGCAGAGAGTTTGGAAATCAGTTTTGCCTCTTAATGTAGCCTTCCTGTTATGGACAGCCACTCTTGGAAAATGCCTGACAGCAAATTTGCTTGCAAAAAGGGGAATGGTGGTGGAGCCAAGCAAATGTAGCTTGTGTGGGAAAGCTTCAGAAGATACAAAGCATTTATTCATCCACTAAAAGCTTGCAAGAATGGTCTGGCGGAAAGCTTTGGGGCTGTTTGATGTTAGCTTCTGTTTCCCAAAAGACCTGAAATCTCTTTTGTGGTGCTGGCAGCTAAAGGGTCTGTCCAAGAGAGGGTAAGTCTTATGGGAAGTAATTCCAGCAGCAGTGATTTGGTCTCTATGAGCAGGGAGAAATAGGAGAATTTTTGAAAATAAACACAATACAATAGATACAATATTAAAAGGCTTATAGGGCAGAATCTACTCATGGGCTGCAGTTCGCAGACAGCGAAAAGGATATATTTTCAACTTTTTTTTTTACTCTAGGAATCTTTTTTGTATCTAGATATGCAGTGTAATCAGCTTCTCAGTTTTTTCCCCTGTTTCAAACTCTTTTTGAGCAGGGCATTGTGTATTTTGTTTTTTCTTTTTTAATACATTACCTTTCTCTCAAAAAAAATATCAAGAACATTCGACTCTTCCACCAGGTCACTAAAGGAATGAATATGGATCCTTAGAAACAGCCAATGAAGGAGAATTTATGTTTCATAAATCACATGATTTAAACAATGATAACTCGTGAGCAATTCACCGCAACTGTAGCCATATGTACCAAAAATGGCACAATGACACAAGTCTAAAATGTCACATGCTTAAGTGAAATTCAAAGACTGGTTCAAATGAACTTCTACAAACTGCAAAGGGATGCTAAAAGTGTTGGTTAGATGGGTCATGTAGCCTCTCAAGAAAGGATTGTTGAAGATCTAAAGGACTATTGAGTGTAGCATATTCTTGCTGGCAGAAAAAAATGGGGAATTTGCATAAAGTTGTAAGAACATCCTTGGATATAAACAAATTGCAGCAACGTGGACAAAAGCAGAAAAATCCAGTGCAGAACATGTGGTGAAATTGGCAGAATTTTCCTTGCCAAACAAGAAAATTGCAGTACAAGTTTGAATATCTCCCGTTAAAAGAAATGAGGTGCATGATCACGAATTTACATCATCAACATCTAACTAAACCTTGTGCCAACCATATGGAGTTGGCTACATGCTTGTGTTTTAATCAACAGAAATATTGTTTTATTATCACTCAGGAATATTTGCCTCATATCAAAGTCAAAGATGAATATATGCTATAATAGGAAGAAACAACTCAACCCCCTCCACAAAACTTCAAAAAGAAAGAAATTAAAAGCTTAAAAGAAACCATAATTTAATGAAAATCATATCATTTAACATTGAGAATATAGTATTATAGTGCCTCCAGATCCTTCAAATGGAAATGCAGACGTATATTAAGTTATTAAAAGATTAGTGTATATCATCCATTTAAGTAAACTGGACCAATATAAGGAAAGGAAACCCCTACTTTGAGAACATGCATTTAAATTGAAGCAAGTTAATCAGCAAACCTTGAAATAGTTCCCAACAGGAGAAACGTAAATTAGAAAGGTATATTCAGGAGCTGGTGCCAGACCAAGAACAGCCCCACTTCCCATAAGCAATGGTCGGATGTATAAAGAACCTTTACCTGGAGGAGGAACCTGCAGTGAGGTATTTGGGGCTTGTCAGAGACCAGTTTAATACATATAGAAATAAATATCTTCAACTATTGAAACAAAATAGCACATTACCCAACGTTTGTTTGCCAACACAGTCATCTTTACAGCTTCCACAAACTGTTCAACTGTTGGGGCAGGCATGCACATACGCTCTGCACCTGTTCTCATTCGCAATGCATTTTCTTCTGGGCGAAATAGTAAAATAGAACCATCTTGTTTCCTGTATGCCTTCAAACCTTCAAATAATCCCTAAAGACAAACCAAAAATTAAGATTGTCAGAGAGTTCATTGAAACAACGCTTCTATATAAGGATGATGCTAATGTAGAAATCACTTTTTTTGGTAGTAAATAAAAAAGAAAATTTATTAAGGAAAAAAGTACAACAAGAAATAGATGAAGGTGATGAGAGAGAGATCACCAATAACAGGGCGGGGGAGAGACTCTCCAACTATTTAAACAAAACAAACATGCTAACTAGAGCTCCCACCCCACTCAATTGTTTCCCAAAACTTTGCTTCAAAAGATTCTCTCAATACATCTCTGAATTCAGGTAGTATTAAAACCCAATCCATAAGCTTTGAGCCAATCCTTAAACATATCTTCAACCTATTCCAAGCTTCTCCTTCAAAGATCCTTCTATTCCTTTCTTTCCATAGTTCCCAACACACAGCAGCTCCAGAAGATTTTAGCTCAATGCAAAGTAGGCCAGCACATGATGATTTCTCTAGGTGATCTTACAAACTAGATGGCCTTATCAAAGAGATGGAAGAAGAAGCCCCAAACAAAATATGAGAATTTACATCCATAACAAAGGTGAAGAACATCCTATTCCTTGGACTCACAGAGAGCACACCTGCTGGCTAGTTGGGGGCATTTTCTCTTGATATGATTTTGTGTTAGGATTCTTTCTAGAGAAACCACTGAAGCCAGACCAATTTCCAATTATGCCCTAGACTTTGGAGGTAGATGGCCAAAACTAGAAAGTTGCATTTAACCCCAGACTTGATTATGATACTTCACTAGGTTTTGAGTTGTCTTTGATATGCCAACCAATGAAATCAGTCAAGGGTCAAATACTTGGGCATGTTGGGGCAGTTTGGGGAATCACCTGAGTGGGTGATTATAGTGATAGCATCAGCCCCTTTGTCAGACAAAGTGAATATCAGGGTTTACACTCTCTCTGATGAAAACCTAAATTGTCGATAGTGGATTTCAATTGTAATTAAAATCTGATTTGCAAAGTATATTTATATATTATATTACTATTTTATGAAAAAGGTTTTAATCCCAGGATCCATCTGAGTAGAGAGTGTGACACTACATTTTCCAATCAAGGAAGAGGTCCTTCCCTGTGGCCAGTGTTTTGATGATTATGGGCTAAGAGGTTAGGTGCAAGAGACCATTACAGGACTGATTACCTAATGGGCTTTATCTTACATAAGTCCAGTATCCTTGGGTCTTCATGGGGTGACTAAATCGAATGATCATTTATGTGTAAATGTTGGGCCCAAACTGAGCCCAAGCTGATAGGGCTAAGGGTTCACTGCCCCTTAGCAATGAATTCGGCCTAACCACTACCAAAGGTGGGGTTGAACCCTTATGGACTTGTATGAGACCTTTATGGGTCCCATGCCATACAATATTCTGGCCCAAAGTGGCCATGCAACACCTTGGGACATGAACCATTAGAGAAAATGGGCCTAAGGCCCACTACTAATATGATTAGTTAAGTGATCACATGAAAACTTCATATGATTTGGGTTGAAAATGGGCATGGATCTAGGTACGGAGCATCCATTCTCTTAAGAAAAGAGTTATCATCAATTATAGATAAAACCCTAATCAAAATTTGATTTGGATCGGCTCCTAAATCCTAATTAGGTTAAGAGAGTGCTCTATAAAAGGGACTAAGAGGGGAGGGGTGAATTCACCAATTCTCTCCACCCTCTTGCTTTCTTCTCATCTCCCTTTGCCTCCTAGAAACCCTAATTTAACCCAGCTGTGATAGGGGCTGATTTCCATCAATCCTCTACTGTGTTTTTGCAAGAAAAACATTAGAGCATATCAGGTTCACATACCCACTTCAATCTAAGCAAGTTCGAGACCGGTTTTTGCTATAATGGTGTTGTTGAATCGATTTCACGTACACACTGTGCCATTTTCAGTTGGAGGCCGATTTTGGGACTGATATTGAGCGCGAACTCACTCTGAGAGCTGCATATTGTGGACTTCATATCAGGTATAATCAATTTTAATTTAGTTCCAAATATGGTCAGGTTCAATGCAAGATCGATCCCGAAATTTCAGATTTCAAAATTAACAAGAAATCAGTTCCCGAGTGGGGTTAGAAAAAATTTTTAAAATTCAACCAGCCACTAAACTTGGTTCAGCCATGTTTAATCTGATTTCTAATCCTTCAAACATGGACTAGCAATTTCTGTAAGTTTTTGAGAGACTCATCATAAAGGAAGACCCTGATATTGTGATAAATTGGCCAAGGGACAGATATAGTTGTTTCCCTTTTTTATGAGGTCTTATCTATAACTGCTTTTTAGTTTTGAGTTCTGTTTTGCCTTCCTGTTTCCTAGTTTTAGGCTTGTGTTCTTGACATCATTTGGTGCTTGTAATCTCCTCCTTTAATCCTTCCATTTCAAAAAGGTTTGAAACAAGGAGATTTGTTTTCTCACCATATGATTAATAAAAGTTTGCATTTTGCTACTGATCAAAAAAATATTAACAAATAGCTGATAAAAAGTATTAACAAATAAAAGGAAAAATAGAAGAATCATGTATACAAGTAGGTATGAACCAAAGGCTAATTTCCTTAAGTTGGGTATTTTCCATGTTAGGAGATTTTGGAAATAAAATCTGGCACCTACCAAAATTTCATAAAAGTGTAAAAATTCTAAAGATATGTATTATAGAACCTTGTGGCATTTTAGATCAAACCAAGATCCTTAATTTAAAGATTCATAAGTTTGATCATAGAGCAAAACTATAATCAAGGACCCTGTAACAGCAAGAGGGCTTATAAAGATATGTACTATAGTTAAGCAAAACTACTATAATCAAGGACCCTGTAACTAGCCAATCGTAGTCTTTTATTTCTCTTTATTATCCTTATTACTTTTTTATAGACTTATTATCCCTTATTTATTATTTTTCTGTTATTGGAGAGGACACTTTTGTCACTGTAATTTTATGACTAAACAGGGGTATTTCTGTAATAGCTCATCCTTAGCAGAAGGGAGAAAAAACTTCTCCTTTCTCTACTTCAGCTGGTGTTTTTTCCCTTTAACAGATCTGATTTCTTCTATCTCTTCTCCTTCTTTATATGATTCAAACAGAAATTTTTTCATGTTATTGTAGAAAATTTCTTAATCAATCAAATCCAAACATCCTTCTTTTTCCTTTCAGTTCCTGAGAAATTTTGGGGGAGATTCAGTATCTGCCATGCTGACCATGTTTTAATTCTTTTTGCTTTTTCTTTTACTTTTTCGAGAAAAAGTAGCAGAGTTTCATTAATAAAGAAAACAGAGATACATGAGATGATGTACAAACAAAAAACCTAGAGGGAGCCCCCTAGGAGCTACACAGGAAGAGAATCAAGAGACCTATCACTATATAAATCATCCAAATGAACACCAAATTTTTCTAGGCCATCTGCTATTGAGATATTCAAATTCTTTTTTCTGGAAGTGATGGTGCATTGGAGATATTCTCTACTTTCAAAATTTCAAATACAAAGAAAGTTAGAACAAGTGGCATATGCATTTCAAGAGAAGCGGTGGGGCTGGTTGATTGGCTCAAGAGGTGTCCTTAAGACCTATGACCAAGGTTCAAAATTTCACAATGTATCAGACCATATCAGCCAATACATATCGTTCTGGTACAAGTCCGATACACGGAACGTATAGAAATTATCTGTAGCGTTCCTTTTCGTATGTATCGGTCTGTATCGGACTGTTTCGGGTCTGTATCGGCCAATATGTTCCAAAACAGTCCGATACAGCCTGATACAAGTGCCCTTCTCTCTCACTAATTTCATTAAATTACATTTAGGGCCGAATTACCTCTCATTAATTTTATATTTACTCCTATATTTAAGTGCAATTTCTCTCTCATTAATTAGTTAATTACTCTTGTAATCAATGCATAATTTTAAATTTCAATTTCAATTTTAGCGCCTAATTGGAATTCTCTTCTCATTAATTTCGTTAATTAATAACCCTCTTTCTCATTAAATTCGTTTTGTTAGTATCAAACTACAAACTTAGCAATAGCACGATTCAAACCTTAGCCATTAGGCTTTAACAACTAGAGGTTCACCACTAAGCCACGCCCATTTGCTTGCTATAGGCTTATGCATTTTTATTTTTAAGTAAATTCTCTTTTTCTTAGTGTATGCTTATCAATAAATGTTAGAATTAATTATTAAAATTTATGTATTAATAAATATCAAGATAAATTATATTGATTATTTTAAAACTAATGTATATCAATATACATTTTAGTTTTTTTTCACATTTTAGTTAATCCATCATTTGTCCATAGTTACTAAGTGTGTCCCAATATCTCGAAATTTTATATAGACCATTAAATTACAGTTTTTTTACTTTTACATAACTTATTTACAATCATATAAAACTTGTAACTGTCATTATTAATATATTTTTTAGGATTTATTTGAGTTTTTTAGCATATTTATGCGTATCTTGATTTTTCGTGCATATCCATACATATCCAAAGTGTATCCCAATATGTCTCTTAAAATTATCTTTTTGATACTTTAAACCTTGCCTATGGCTAGCGAGAATACCTTATTAAAATGGTATTGTTGAGCATAAAAATTGACATCTTCTAGAGGTCACCAAGGCTCTTCTTTTTCAAATAGAAGTTCTTAAATCTTATTAGAGTGATATTGTCCTCACTACTGTTATCTTTTAAGTCATATGACTCCAATATTAGGTGACAAAACTCCTCACTCCATTTTTTTATGAGTAAAACTCCTCACTCCTTTGTGTTCCCTTATGGTCCATCATTTTCTCTTCAGCCACACATCATAAAAACCAATAAGGCCTATAAGTGTTATAGTCCTATTTCAAATAAATGATAATGTCACCTTTTCTGAGTCTATTCTTGATGCATTTCCTTTATTTATTGTGCTCCTAAGCCACCTATGAAGGTTTACTCTTGATGATGCTCTAACCAGACAACCATTGCTGTATTACATCAGAATGGTACCTGGGAATTGATTCCTCTTCCTCCTGGAAAGAAAGTGGTTAGGTGTCAATTAGTTTACACAGTAGAATTTCTTCACAACCAATCTACTGAACATCTTAAAACTAGATTGGTAGCCAAGGCATTTACACAAGCTTATGGTGCCGATTATGCTGAAACCTTCATACCTATAACTAAAATTTCATCTAGTTGTGTTGATTGGATGTAAAAAACAAATGTATATTCAGATGACCATTTACATGAATTTTACACTGAGAAACCACCTAGATTTGTTGTTTGAGGAGACTGTATAAGGATCACCTATAAACTAAGAAAGGTTATATATCAACCTAAGCAATTAACACATTCCTAGTTTGGCAAGTTGAATATGGTTGTTCTTATTTTGGCATGTAAAGGTGTCAATTTGATTATTCAATTTTTTGTCAGAATTCAGCAACTCGTAAGGTCATTCTAGCAGTCTATGTGGATGATATTGTGATTAGAGGAAGTGACACCAAGGCTATTGGGGAACTTAAATTGTTTCTAAAGCAGTGTTTTCATATTATAGCCTTATAGGAACTGGATAAGTTATGATTCATCCTAGCTATCAGAGTTACTCAGTCCAGAAGAGGTTTGCCTCTCACAATGAAAAATATGTACTTTACATGCTTGAAGAGGTAGGTAAATTAGGTTCTAAACCTATCACTACTCCCATGGGTTTGAATACTAAATTTGCATCAAATATGGAAAGGTGAGTTGATAATCCAGGTCAGTATCATAGGTTGGTAGGAAAATTGAATTTTCTAACTACAACTCAACCATACATCTAATTTATTGTTAGTGTCTTCAATTAGTTTATGGATTCTTCAAGAGTTCCTCACCTTCATGTAGTTTTCCAAATATTATAGTATCTGAAGGGATCCCAGCCCCCATATTCATGTAAATATATCTGACTTTACTGATGCAGACTAGGCTGGTTCACCATTTGATCACAGGTCCAATATTGGTTATTGTACATTTCTTAGAGGAAATAGAAAAGTAAGAAGCAAAAGTGTTGTTGTTAAATCAAGTGCCCAGGAAAATATCTAGCTATGAGTCACATTACATGTGAGCTGATGTGGCTGAAGAATCTTCTTCAATAAGCGGGTTATGTTGTATCACTTTCCACACATCTTCATTGTGATAATCAAGCTTCCATACACATGTTTCATGAGAGAATAGAATACATTGAGGTTGACTGTCATTTTGTTAATGAAAAAGTCCACAGCAATGATACCGTTTCCAATTAAAAAAAAAAAAAAGGTCCACAGCAACGATGTTGCCACTCCTTACATTGAGTCAAGAATCAACTTACAGATCTCTTTCTTAAAGTGTTGATTGTTGAGGTGTCCTAGAGTAGACTCCATTGTGTCTGAGCTAGGGTTAGATGATATATACTCACCAGCTTGAGGGGGAGAGTTAGAAGTATAGACCAGTCGACTGCATCCTTTTATTTCTTTTATTATTACACTTTGTTTATTTTTCTGCTCCTTGAGCTGAGACACTCTTGTTGTTGTAGTTTTAACTATTCAACTGCATTTTTGTAATAGCCCATTCTTACTTCTTAATGGAAATGGAGAGAACTTTTCTCTATTGTTTCCCTTTTTATATGGTTAAAAGTTAAAAACAGAAATCTGTTCACCACCAATTTAAATATGTATTTTTAGTTTTGGATGCTGCAATAAAAATGCATTAATGCATGATACAAATTGATCAAGAAAAGGCTGTGACATACAAGATCTAAAGTCTATACATTGAAAATAAAGAAATAAAATGCCTACCAGTGCAATGGTTCAGATAACTAACCTGCCCATAGTTTAAGACACCAGATGATGGGCTCAACTCAATGTTCCCAAAACGCTGCAAATCACCTTTTGAAAATTTCCCATTCTTGGAGCATTTGGTGACATACATATAATCAGTTGGCACAAGACCAAATCCAAGATCATCCCAATTTATATCAGCCAATTCATATGTTTCAGTGCTGTTGTTAACCAATAAATGTCAATATTTGCTACAGGTCAACAAGCATAAAAATCCAATATTTAGAAACTAATAAATGCTTCCATGCTTGAACTCATATAACTGCTCAAATGCTTTTGACTAAATAGTCAATTTGATCTATATTCCCAATGTCTTTGCATTCCAAGTATTGAAGACACCCAGCACTGGAAGGGTGTTTCATGAATGAGATCATTCATTCCACCCACAAAGAAGTCGGATACTGGTCAAGATTCACATGGAAATGAGATGATTTTTTTTTGATAAATATGGAAATGAGATGATTAATAAAAACATTTTTGGATACCATATTAATAAGTGGATAAAACGATTAATCTTGCCAATCCAAAAGATGTCTCTCCCACTTTGAACTTCACCTAATGAATTTAGTGGTTGTTTCCAGTATTAACTTTGAATTACAACCACTGGGGACCAATAGGCATTTTTAAGACTCATGTGCATTTGAGCTAAAAACAAGTTCCACTGGTTTAGCATAGCTGTCCGGCCCTAATACAAAGCCTGAAGCCCGGTGTACGTTACACAATTTCTTAATTCTATCTTCTAATTCCATATTTTTTTTTTACTTATTCCTATCCAATCACACATTTGGCACCTCAAAAATATGGAATTAAAAGAGCAAGTAACCTTCAATATATAATATATATATATATATAGAGAGAGAGAGAGAGAGATTACCTAATACCCATTTCTAAATGCAACATTGCAAGAATCTGAGTTCGTGAATGCACATAATATTTGCAGAATGGAGGAAATCAAAATAGACGTTAATCTCTAATACGCAATTGTAAAATCATGTTTTCCTGATTTTGGCATGCCTATTCTTGTTTGAATGAGAAGATCAACCACCCGACCAACCTTCCACCCAAATTTTCCTACCGCCTAAAACTCTGCCAAGAAAGCGCTGCTTTACGTTTGATCCTATGTGCCCRGAGAATGCTATGCGTTCTCCACTTTCGGACCTCGCAAAGAGAGAACGTGTTTTTTCCTTTTAGTTTCTCTCTCATTCGCGGAGCGAAGAAAGCGGGCTTTRCCCCTGCTACCGCTATCCTTGGGAAACCAAAGGAGCTACCGAAGGAAAGGGATGCAGTCTCAGAGAAAAAAAGGACGCAGGTTTCATGAAAAATCTCTACCATGAAATGTTTTTTCGGAGCTAGCTAAACATGGTATTATTGTGAGAGCTAAACAATGAAATCCACTTCATCCGTTCATCGGAATGCTCGCAACATTTATGCACATGGAATATTTTCTTGAAGCCAACCAGGAAAATCCATTCCACCATAATGTTTTCTTGAAACAAATATATACAAAAACACCCACATAAAGAATTTATTTGATCTTTGAATAATAGCGAGAAAGAATGACTTCTAAATTGTGTACGATTACATACCTACAAATATCAGATAATGCTGTTCCTTGAGATACGGTGGAATTCACTTGAACACAAGAAGAAATGAGAGACGGTTGATTCTGTAGCTGCAAAATATACAAATCAATAAGCCAATGTCACAGAGAGAGAAAAGCAAGACCAAATCAAGACTCCCCTCCACGAACACGGTCTTTTATCAACGACCAACGTCATTAATCGCGATAAATAATCAGAAAAGTGAGAAACAGATTGAACAAAAAAGAGAAACCTTGAGGAGGGGCAGGTGTCGGCTGTTTGTGAAGGAAGCAGGGAGAAGAGTGGTGAAGTTGCGCGACGAGAAGAGAAGATGGTTCGGTTGAAGCTGAAGTCCTGAAAGGGCGAAGCCGCTCCCCATTGGAGATTGATCGTCTCTGAGCTTCCGTGAGAGCGCGAATCGAGCAAGCGAGAGCGAAACACAGAGAGGGTGGGGGAGATGGGCCGCTGGACTGGACTACCGTGTTTTGTTGGTGAGAGAGAACTTAAACTGACGGGGGGATCTACAGTCAAACAACTGCAGAATATACGAGAGAAATTTTGCCTACAACACAATGATGCAAACAATCTACTTAGGATTGTAGTTCGATAATAACGGTTGGATTGGAATAATTGCCGTACTCTATATTGTCGAGTCTCGAGTCGGGTATCATACCCTCCGGCAGCGTAGATAGAAATTTCCTTCATGTGCATGGATGATGGCGAAATGACGTGGCATGTCACGAGTGAAAAATGGTATTTCAGTTTTAGGCATAGAGTCCAATCAACCCTAAATGTTTTTGAATCGTACGGCTCAGAAAAGTCCGAGGACAGCTGGACAGGACTTCAGACATAACACGTGCAACATACGTGTCTTAATTTTTAATTGATAACAAGGACTTCAGATCTGCTACGAACAAAACGCGCCAAACGTTTCCCAAGCGACCACACTGAAGCCGCAAATTAAAAACACTCTGTATATGCTACTCAACTATTCCGATTTCCGAGTTCACATCTGCCACAGAATGTGCCTTTCCCCCAAGGCCCCAATAATGTCCCAGCACACCCCCGCCATGTATCGGTAACATCTCGCGATGATGACATTATTGATTCTGGTACTAATCGGGAGATATTTTCAATGCACGGCCGGGATATGTTATGTAACGTTGTGGGGAGGAGATGTGAATTCTCCCTAAAACGCTCTAAGTGCACATCTCAGCGTGTATTGAGAACATATTCCATAAAAATTATCATTAGAAAATGTTCTCAATGCACGACTGGGATGTGTTATAGACGTTTTTGGGGCGTATTCTATGGGGTAGATTTGAACTCAATTGTTTCTACATTCTTGCCTATATAATAGGGGTGAGCAAAAAAAGTTGAACGGAAAAATTGGTTAATTAATCGGTCGGCATATAATATATATATATATATGATATATTATTTATTATTTAAAATATAATATTTTATATATATTTATAATTTTTTGTTATATATTTATATAATATATTATAAAAAAAACCGATGAACTGAATTGGTCAACCTGTGAATCGAATGGTTTCAGTTCAATTTCAGTTACCGATTTTCCAAAAATTGATAATACCAGTTCAATTACAAAAAAAAAACATAATTCAATTAACCAAACCATGAATACCCCCTACCATATAATACTAATTGCCATGTATTGAAAAGAATTACGCCCCACAAAATACACCTCACAAGCACCTACTCATCCCAATGTGCATGAGCAACATGGGCTCCCATTGAGAACCACGAGAGATGTTCCGCTAAGATATGTATGTGGAGACCAGATCTGTGCCTCACACCTGGCACCTCACAAACGCCTCACACGCACATCCTCTCATCCATTGGGAGCATCTCATCTATTGGGAGATGTTTCCAATGCACGGTGGATGTGCCTGTGAGGCGCCCATTTATGAGGAACAGATCCCATCACATGTATGTGGGGCTCTATGATTGTGAGGCGCCAATGTCGACTCTATTGGGAATATCCCTCGGTTGGAAACATCTTTTATGATGATTTCCAACGTGAGACGGTTGGGAGCGTTTCAAAGGGTAGTAAGGAAAAAATTATCATCGATAGAGGTGGTTGGAAAAGTTGATTTCCAAAAGTCTTTTTAAGACAAAAAAAAGGAGTAGGGAGTAGGGCACTGAGATTCCTGTATTCTGTTGACAAGACATATCTTACATCCCGTATCCCATATATGATTCCTAATCAATGAGATTCATTCCATTGTCGTGACTCGTGAGATTCAATCCAAAGCTCAATAAAGCATAATATTTTCAGAACAAAGCAGACTCCGATTTGGATATGCTTTTGCTTTGTAGCTTTGGCACGTGGGGAGCAAAAATGAGACCCAAAACTGTTTTGACCGTCGCCCGTCGGTAAGAGTTGCTTTTAAAAATATAAGGATATAAAGTTAAAACACTTTTTAAACTCAACGCAAAAGCTTATAGGAAGTTTGGTTGAGCTGCTTTTAATAAACTGCTTTGGAGAATCCATTGAGTGCCCGTTTGGGAAGGCTTTCTTGCAGCGGGGACTTCTGGTTCTGCAAGGTAGGTCTCATCTCATCACATGGAAAGTTTACAAGTTATGTTTTGTGACAAACCCAAAATGCCCCAATATGTTTTTGTTTAATTATAAAATTGATTTTCCATGAAGCTAGTTTTAGTAGCTTCTTTAGAGTTGCTCAATAAAAGCATTTCAATCAAAGCTGAAGCCCTCTAAAACCGTTTCTGAAAGAGTTTTAAAGAAATTTTTTGGCATCCTAGATGCCTAGATAACAATAAATTTGAGCTTTTAGGCTGTCTCTGTTGGCTAGAGGACAATAAATTTTAGTGGAAATGGGTAATGTATCTTACATAATTGACAACGTTAGGGAATCAAACGGATCGGATCGGATTCGAACAAGGGTATTATCCAAATCCAGTCCAACATCGTTATGAACAGATCCGATCTGATCCAATCGGAACGGATAGACATGGATTTGAATTTGAATCAAATTAAGAAGTCGAATATTCAAATCTGATCAGATCCGATTTGTTTTCTTTAAAAAATAATAAATTATTAAAAAAAATAAAATATACCAATTTAAATAAATAAAAACAAAATATATAAGTATTTTTGAATTATTTTCATCATATATATATATATATATTTATAAAAATAAATAATATATCAAATTTACAAAATACAATATAAATAAATAAATAACATATATATGTGAATTATTTATATTTATATAAATAAATATATAACTTATGATCGGATCCAATCATGATCCGATCCATTTGCATCTCTAGACAAGACAATTGAGGCTTCATCCAAGAAAAAACAAAAATTGGGGCTTGGTTCTTTTTTTTATGGATAATTAAGTTGTTTATTTCACCCTTGGCTTAACGTATCTTCCTTTTAATGGCTTGAAGTGCTTATTATGTGATGTTTAAAGCTTTTCAAAAGTTCAATTTATTCTAGCTTTTCAAAAGTTTTTTGCATGTAATGCAAACAAAAATACTCTTGTTTGTGCTTTTTAAGAGAAAATTTTCATCTTATTAGTAATAAGGAGGAATGAAAAGTTAAAAACAAGGTTTTTTTCTTTGTATTACATAAAACACATTATAGGCGATTAAGGAGTAAAAAAAGATAAGGATGCATGTGATGGGGTTTACTTGACTTTATCCCGGAGGAGAGAGGTTTCTAAATGGGTATTTGAGAATAATGGCCCAAAAAGGTAATGTGTAAACCTCAAGGTATAATGAGTAGGGGTGCTCACGGTTCGGTTCGGTTAATCAAACTGTGAGGTTATTTTGTGAATTAAATCGACTTGATCAGTTTTTTGAGTATTCAAATCGAAAACGAATCGATGCAACCGGTCGACTGGTTAATCACGATTCGGTATTTTTGGTTTTTTATGCACTCAAAATAAAAAATAAAGGAGAGAAAGAGAGAGAGAGAGAGAAAGGTCACCGGTTGACCTAGGATTTTTTTCCCATTGGGGAAGAAGAAGAGAGATGAGAGAGAAGTGAGAGGTGAGAAACTGAACTTGAAGGCTGTTGGTCGAAGCCCAAAGGTCGTCGGTCAAAGACTCGGAGGCTGTTGGTCAGTCTGGGGAAGAAGAAGAGTAGAAAGATGAGAGACTGAGAACTAAGAGTGAGAGAGAAAGGGAAAGGCATTTACTCTGAGAGTGAGAGAGAACTGGGAAACGAGAGACTGAGATCTCGAAGGTCATCAATCGGAGCCTGGAGGTTGTCGGTCGGTCTGGGGAAGAAGAAAACTAGAGAGATGAGAGACAGAGAACTAAGAGTGAGAGAGGGTGATTCGAAGAGAGGAAGAATGGAAGATTAGAAAAGGGTATTTGCAATTTTGCAAATACTAGAAGACTAGCTAGTTGTAACTAAGTCACCAAAAAGGTGAAAACGACAGAAAGTCTGATTTAAAAGAGAAAAAAAAAAGAGAAAGTAAGAATGCCGAGAAGCCTATTCGATTTTCAAAAATATAAAATATAAAATATAATATATATTAATATACATATACTGGTCGATTCGATTAACTGCCAGTTTTTTTTTTAAGGTTAACCGAAACCAAACCGAATTTATCGATTTTTTAAGAATATCAAACCGAAACCAAATCAACCAGTTCGGTTAACCGAGTTTTTGGTTTGGTTTTGCTCACCCCTAATAATGAGATGTAAGTCTCAAAATTAAAAAAAAAAAAAAAAAACTAAAGTTTAAAAATGATAAAATAACATATGATATGCTTAAAATGTACATCTATAAAATAGAACTTTATAAGGAATTTTTTTAGAATAATAACTTCTAGGCTTTTAGTATTCAACAAGATAATAACTAATTAGCCAACAATAATCTTTTACATTTTAAAGTTTCAAAATCCAAACTTCTCAAATTATTCAAATGATCAATCGTAACATTTTAGATTATCAAACTCTCAGTCACCAAATTTGTTTCCATTGATGGAGGGCTTTTGAAATTCCCAATTATCTAGCCAAGTTAGAGCCTTCTGTTTTTTTCTTTTAACCCTTCTTTGGGATGTCCTGTATCTTAAGGAAGTGTTGCCAAGCCCACGTAATTTTGTCCACCAATTTGACTTGAAAGGCTCGTTTGTTTTTCGGATTTTGAGAAGGGGAAGTGGGTCAATCTATATTTTGTACCTCCTCAGAAGAGTAAACATCCTTAAAATAGGAAACGATATTTTCTACAATTAAACCTTGGTCACTAGTCCACCTTCCATCATCCATGTTAAGCCAATCAATATGATTCCTATTCTACTCGATGAAAAAATTGATTAATCCAATCCCCATCTTCCAATTATAGATGTCTGGAATTTTGTCTCCAATAAGATTCTTGGAAATTTAAAAGGGTATTTCTTCTAGCCTCCAATTTATAAAGATGATGCCTTATATCCACATTATTAGCCAAGGTTTCTACCACCCAAATCTCCTGCCTTATAATATCATTTTTGTATGTCTAATTTAATAAGTAGCAAAACCATTAATATGA